TATGGCTCTTACGGAAGTTGAATGATTTTCCTTCTGCAGTGACTGGAGTTTTGAGAGTACGACGAGCACTTTACTGGTAAGGAACTTAACCATTCCTGAGTCTAACTCATCATGCATGTTGCCAATCACTTGTTGGAAAGTGAGAAAACTGACGTGAAGAATATTTTATATCTTACTCTTTTCAGGCTAATTGCAATCTGTTGGTTCTTTACAATTCTATGCTGGTTGTTCTTCGGGATTTATTTCTTCTTGGAAAAGTAAGTCCAAGGTTTATCTATATTCCCGCTTATTTATCAATTCTCAAGATTCTCCTAGGTTTGCTGGAAATGTTTGCAGGCATAACTGATTGCTCAAATAAATGATCAAATTGCCAGGTTCTCAGGTGATACATGTACAGCTCTTGAAAACTTCAAAGAAAATCCCTACAACAACAGCTTGAGTTCAATCCTCCCTTGTGATGAATTGCTCTCTGCAAAACCAGTCCTATTTGATGTTAGCGCTGGAATATACAACCTTGTTAATGAGGTAAATGTCATTGTAATTTTAGTTCATATGTTACCTGAACAGGGTATTCTGCTGATAAAGTGAAGCTGTAAGTTTTAGCTTACAATCTTTAGAACTGGTTTGAATATGTAGCATTTCATGACAGTAAATACATCTCTTCGTGGCATTCAATCCTGCCGCTGCTTAAGTTGAATTTAACTTCTGAAACTAATCCAATTGCATACAAATTCATGAACCTTTGAGGTCTCATACAATAGAAAAGTCTTGAGAGTGCAAAGGCAAACATCAAATTTGTCCTTTCAATTTCTATTTTCTAATGACAAAACAATTTACTTATGATTCAATTCGTCTTCTGTTGACTATTCTTCAGGTGAATTCAAACATATCACTCCTGCAGGCAACAACATATCCCAATCTTGCTTATGTTTGCAATCCTTTCTCAGCGCCACCTGAATATACATACCAGCCAGATGACTGTCCTGCTAATACGATTAGGATTGGCGACATACCAAAGGTATGCGGAAGGAAAAATCCAATATGGTTTATGCATTGTAGCTAGCATCTCCAGTAATTTTTCTCACTCCGTAACTACAAAGGAGAGACAGCTTGATGTCTAACTGACTCTCTCTGCATCTCTTTGTAGATATTGTCCGTATTTACTTGTTCTGATGCCAATAATGGGACCTGCAAAGAGGGAGAATTCATATCCACTAGTGACTACAAAACAGTGGAGGCTTACACAAGTTCAATCCAAAACCTACTAAATGCTTATCCTGGCATGGAAAGTCTTGTAGAATGCCAATCAGTAAGTGACGCATTTTCTGAGATCCTTCGCGAACACTGCAAACCATTGAAGAGATCCGTGCGAATGGCATGGGCTGCAATGGTGTTCCTCTCAATCATCATGGTATTTTTGGTTCTGATATGGACAGCAGAAGCCCATCACGAGCAACAACTTCATTCTTTGGACGGTTCTGTGAAACCTCAATCTGCAACTACAAATTCATTGGAATCCCAAGCAAATAATGAAGTGATCAAAGATCACTCGAACTCCAATTCTGTCTAGAAATTGCAAATTTCGAGATTGTTTATTTTGGAAGACAATGCGCAAGCAGCTTCCAGGAACGCCGGCTAAAGCATCAAGAATACTAGTTTGTACAGGTAAAGATACAAGATCGCAATAAAGATAGAGATGGATTATCTAGATAGGTAAAATAGAACACAGGGGCCATTTTTTGTCTCCACAGGAAGGAAAAAGATTGAAGTTTAGTTTACATTTTGTACTATCCTAGCGTTACAGATTTTGCTTCTATAATCTAATGTAGTGTCGTATACGGGGATCAACCCCATAAAAGGGTGTAATACTCTAATTGTTTAGCAATAAAAAATAATTCCTTCATCTAGATTTTGGTCATATGTATAGCCACATTGAAAGATGACCTAGCTTCTTCTTTTTGTTTTTCAACTAAGTTGGAAAGCTATTAAAGGCATTAATTATTTCTTATTAAAGGCATTAATTATTTCTTTTGGTTGTCTGATTAATTATTATTATTATTATTATTAGCATTTTGCATTTTCATTTTCTTATGTCCATGAATTGTTGCCTTTCTTTACTTTCCAAACTTATCTAATAATACGTAAATTTTGATGGTTTTTTTTTCTTGGTTTAAAAAAAGAAAGTCAATTCAACAAAAACAATTTATTAAAAAATTACTTTGTACCAAGAATGGAAATCGCAGCCTAGAGTTGGTGCTCCCTTCCGATTCCCTTTATAATATTATGCCATATGTCCAATAAACAAAGCTTATTAGCGACAACATTTTGCTCGTTAAATCTCTTTTTCTCCCTTTCTTAATAAAAATAAATTTTACTTGAATGTTATGAATACAAATTAATGTCATTTTATTAACATAATGTTAAAATTAGTCTTTAAACTATTTAAAAGAATTTAAATAAATTCTTATTTTTTTATTACATTCAATGAAAGTACATATACTTTTATTTTGAATCAAATAAATCTTTATGATTAATGATTGACTAATTATCATTAGTTAAAATATTACTTGTTATTTTATATTCACATGATGTTGAGATAGCATTGATGTAAAACGTAAAAAATGTTACATAATTATATAATTAGGTCAAATTAATGTGTTTCATTATTATCAATTATAATACGTTAATATATCACATCATCACTAATTATGATATGTTAACATGTCATATCTACTTCACACGAGATAAAATAATAAATAATATTTTGACTAAATCAATCATTAATTATAAAGATTTATCTGATTTAAAATAAAAATAAAAAAGCTATTTGCATTAAAATAAAAGCATAAACGTTTAATTGATTCTTATTTAAATTTTTTAAAATAGTTTAACAGTCTTTTAAGATATTAAACCCTTTTTTCTAAAAAAAGGTTCAAGTGTTTTAAGAAACTGCTCATAAAACTAAACATTTATAATAATAGTGGTAACATTGCTATTACGTTCGGGTAATTGAAATTCAAACAAAAGAATCACTTGTTTACCATTGGACCCAAGCACGTTGGGGGCATGGCTGTGGCTCTTGGAAAGGCCCAACCACAGGGTTGGACCACCCGACCTCCCAATTCCAAAATGCTTAATTTTTCGTATTTTGATGCACTATAGTCTACAAGGAAAAGGTGATCACTATGCACCAACCATTAGGTAAATTTTTTATGGAAGGAGGAGACAAAATATTTTGGCAACAAATTTTAGATGAAATGACTTAAACTTTTGAAAATACATGAATGAAATTCAAACATGTACGAAACTTTTGGGGTTCAAAAATGTTATTTTATTAATTATTACTATTTAAATGGAATTTCGTCAACCATTTATAAGAAACAAAAAGTAAAAACTATAATATCTATATATCATATGTAAGCATTTTGATAAATGTTCGCTTTCATTCTAAACTTTGGAATATAATTTTATTTTTTTCATAGGTCAGCTTAATCCTACATCTTAGTGACCCATCAATGATATAATCATACGTTAACAATTTATTGGAAAATATAAAAAAATATTTTTACTAATGGATGCTTATAAAATACACTAGTTAAGCTATTCTAATCTTATTTTAACGTCACATGTCTCAAGTTTTTCTTTTTATTAAAATGGGTATAATAATATATATTTCATCAAATATAGATAAAGATAATTCGTAAAACTGATATTAAATTGGATGGAATAAATAAAATTTGATATTTACATAACAATTAGTTGTACTTTTTATTCACGTGATGCCTTTCTCTCATTTCATAAATTTTATTTTATTCGTAATAAAATTCGAATCATTTACTGATATTCTTTTCCTATTTTAATAATTAAAATAAATCGTGTAATGTATGTGATGTGAGATGGTCCAGTAACTTGTATGGAAGAGAGTATATGTTCAAATTTAAAATAATTATATTTCAGCTCCAGGTCTTCACCTCACATCCTCAACAAAATGTGGACTTTCTTGTCATTATTTTATATATATTTGATGTGGTATTTTATGTACTTTAATTATATTAATTGAGTTATGTCATTTTTCTACACATAATATAATAAATAATTTGACAAAAAAAACCAGATTCTAGAAAAGAAAATAGTCAATGAATTACATAGGATAATATATATGTAAATAAAAAGAGAAATCACTTTCTGTTTTAGAAAAGGACGAGAAAATTGTTTAACAAGCTGATGTAATTACCGTCTTGTCTTATACGAAATAAAAATTAATAATATCTGGAAAAAAAGATTCGGCTTCTAGATGCCCAACATTTGTTTCAATTTCTCCTCTTGTTGTGAAAGGTCAAAGCCATCATTTGCTTCTGGACTTTTGGTATAAAAGATTTCTTTCATCCAAAGTCCATAACTGTTTGATGAAGTCCTGCTATATTATCATTACATGATGTTAGGCTTATGATCATATTAATCCTCACTAGTTTAAATTGCACAATTAATAATGAATATGAATATCTATTAACTGTTTTACAAGTTGGACAAGTTGAATGAGTTGTGTAAATACATTTTGGATTCAATTATCATGGTAGACATATATATATATATATATATATATATATGGGCAAGTTGCACTATTTGTAAAATGTATACAGTTGGTGGGAATAAAAGCATTCAAAGTTTGGATTTGATCAAATATAGAGGGAGACCTATCTCCATATTTGACAATTTTTGGGTAAAATTCTATAACAGTATAACTTTCTAGAGAACATATAAATTAATAAATAACAGACAAAAACGATAACATTTGTCAACTCTTCACCTAACAAAAAGATCAAACTTCTAATGTGAATGATTATAGAAGCTCCTCGTTGAGGAGAAAAGTCAAAGAAAAGTGCTGACTTTCAAATGCTGCTTCATATACTCTTAATATTGAGCTTTATTAGAAATCAATATCACTTTAATTCTTTGTTTCAGTACTTTTGAGATTGTAAACAAATTAGCATAGCCAAATCTTTCCAACCTTCAAATGGCTGTCCTACCAGACACTCTCAAAGTTCTTGAAGATACCTGTGTATTTCCTCCACCAGGCTCAGTTCCTACAACTTCTCTTCCTCTTACCTTCTTTGATATACACTGGCTTGGTTCTTCTCCCATGCAACGCCTTTTATTCTATGATTTCCCATACCCTACCTTTTATTTCATGCAAAGCACTCTTCCCAATCTCAAAAGATCTCTCTCACTCACTCTGCAGCATTTCTTCCCCCTTGCAGGCAATCTTGTGTGCCCTCCACCGCCTCAAAAGCCTTATATTCTGTACAAAGAGGGTGATTCTGTTCCGTTTATCGCCAAAGAATCCACGGCAGATTTCAGCCATCTCATAGGCGACCATGCGCGACATGTTCAAGAATTTCAAGCTCTTCTCCCCAAACTGAAACCGGCAAGTACGTACTCACATAGCACGACTAGTACTGCGTGCATGCAGAAGGCTCTCATGGCCATTCAGGTCACTCTATTTCCAAAGGCAGGCATTTGCGTAGGTGCCACGTTTAACCATGTTGCAGCAGATGGTAAGGCGTTTACTCATTTTATGAAATCATGGGCATCCGCTCATAGATCTCAAGGTGATTTCATGACTTGTCTGAACAAGTCCCTACCCGATTACAACAAGGATTTGATCAAAGATCCTCTGGGGCTAGCGTCCATTTTCATGAAGGACAAGTGGAATTGGGAGGATTTGGACAGCATTCCCTATGACAAGTTTCGGGTCACTTTTGTCATCAAACGATCCCAGGTTGAGTTATTGAAAAATTGGGTCACAAGAAAGTGCATGGAAGAAAATGGATCGGAGACATTAAGGAGGTCAACCTTTGTCGTAACATGTGCTTTCATGTGGGTTTGCTTGGTCAAATTACAAGAAAGTGGAACTCATGATCTTTCATCAACCGATAGTTATAACATGCTTTGCCATTTCATTTTTCTAGCAGATTGCAGAGACCGCCTGAAATTGCCTGCAACATACTTTGGGAACTGCCTCGAGCCACGTTTTGCAGCAGCTAAGAAGAGTGAGCTGCTTGGAGGGAAAGGAATTCTCGTGGCTGCAAAGGCTATTGGGAGAGAAGTCATGGAATTGGAGAAAGGAGCATTGAGAAAGGCAGAGAAATGGTTATCGAGGGCAGAGGAAATATTCAAATTTGGACGCCATGTTTGCATAGCTGCATCACCAAAATTGCGTGTGTACGAGACAGATTTTGGGTGGGGAAGGCCAAGAAAAACTGAGGTGGCTCACATTGGTTCTTTTGGATCCATTTCTATGGCTGAGAGTAGAGAAGAGGAAGGTGGTGTTGAGTTTGGCTTAGCACTTGCTCAAGATGAATTGGATAGCTTCAACGCTGTTTTTGAGCAAGGATTATTAAAGCTACAATAAACTGTTAAATTACGATTAACTAATTGTTGGAGCTGAATATAAGAAACTACATACATCTTTATATACAGGTATAACAAAATCTAAACTTTATTACAGGTGATACAAATGATCATAACAGATATCGAGATTCGATTTGCATATCAAGAATTGATGATGAAATCAAATGTGATTCATATTGTCTTCATTACAGATTCTCTTGTTGATGTTCCTGCTGCTGGAATAAAGAGTTTGCTGCTGAGATCAAG